GTCGGCAGGCGTAAGGAGTGTTCTCACCAATATTATTATTCGGAAGGTGATGATCTCCGCCGCGAGGGATGTGAAATTCATGTTGGAAGTGATGGTGGGTAAGGGTGCATGGAGAGTTTTTTTACTGGTAGTGGTCATCGTCATCGTGGAAGTCGTGGGTGAGGCTGCGGGCGTGACAGTGGAGGCACTTAAGCAGGCAGTAGGTGGCGTTGCTGTGCTGTTGTTGCATCTGGCCCGAAGATATCCGGTGAGGCCAATCCACACGCGGTATGTCCATTGAGTGCGTGGACATGACGGAAGGTGGTGCATGTTGACGTTGTGTCCCGGAAACGTATGAGACTTGCGAGTCTCTCTTTTGGCTTTGACAACGACGACTTGGTTTGCTTCGGGAATCGCTGCTCCAATCCTCACTGTTCTACTCCAGGCCGGCGGATTTTGAGCGAGGTCTATTGTCTTGTCAGTTTCGATTGGGAATATACAATGATAGAGGGGCGCCCACCGACCGTTCTTACGGAACTCACTCGTTCCGTTGTGACTTACGGGCTCTCCCTCGAGCCCAATCACCAACCGCATAGACGTAGGGCACAACGGGACGAGTGAGTTCGTAAGAGCGATCGGTGAGCGCCCCCTATCATACATTTATGTGTGGAAGAAGAAGAAGAAGAAGAAGAAGAAGAAGAAGAAGAAGAAGAAGAAGAAGAAGAAGAAGAAGAAGAAGAAGAAGAAGAAGAAGAAGAAGAAGAAGAAGAAGAAGGTAAGGCGTTCTCTGGGGTAGAAGATTTTATATCTGAATTTTCGTACTCGTACGCGAGCACATCATCGGAGATAGACAAAATGAGAAATACATGATTTCAATAGGCCATTCGTGTTCACGCCTGATAGGTCCATTCAGCTCTCTTTTTACTGTCTCTCCTCTCGCGCGCAAGTGGCGCCTGACGGCCTCTTATTGTACTGGTAGGTCGATACTGCGGTTGATCTAGTTGGCGTCTGACCGTCAAGCTTCGATTTCTTCTCTCGCCAGTCTGCTTTATGCTCGACCGAGGACTTGGACACCGTCAAAGTCGAACCACTAATTATTTTCTAGACTGCGCATGGCGAAGTGCGACCGTACATCCTTTCGTTTTACTGCCAAAGCGTGCTCATGCATGTTTGTTCTCAGTTGTCTGTCGGTGATGCCGCGGTAGTTGGCCAGACAATGTAGACATTTGACGCAGTAAATGACGTCCGACGTGTCTGCAGGTGGTAGACGACCCTTGGCTTGCATGAGTAAGCGGCGGATGGTGGCCTCCGGCCGGTGTCCAACGCCCACGTTTAGCGGTCTTCGCACGCGCTCAGTGGCTTCGAAGACACTCCTGGCGTAGGGCACAACACGGAAGATTTCTGGTCTTTGTTTTTTCTCACCGTCGGTCTTCGTGTACCTTTCGTATATACATTTGTTTACAAAACTGCGCGGGTATCCATTGGCAAGGAAGAGGTATCATAGGGTTTCACTCTCCCGTAGCTTGTCGGCTTCTGTGCTGCAGTGTGTGTTGATGCGGCGAAAAAGTGTCCGGGCGCAACTGCATTTATGCGACAGGGCGTGGTTGCTGTTTTAGTGAAGAATTTTATCCGTGGTTGTCGCTTTTCGAAAGACACTAGTCTGGAGGGTTCTGTCTTCCTGCCTGGATACCTGGACGTCGAGGAACGGGAGTGTTCCTTCTCTTTATTCCCCATGGTAAATTGATTTTGTGGGAAAACCGAGCTCAGTTCCTTTTTAAAGTTGTTTTTCGCGTCTCAGTGTAGGATGACGAGGGTGCCGCCTACATTGCGCATCCAGAACTTCGGCTTGTAGGACTGAAAGACCCGAGTTTCCAGTTCCTGTAAGACCGCCTCAGCCAGGTAGCCGGAGATTCGGGACCCCATTGGGACTGCCTGGATTTGTTCGTAAGTTTGACAATTAAACGTGAAGCATGTGCGTGAGCAGTAGTCCAGTAGTTCCATCGCGTGCGCCTTCTTAAAAGGTTTTCCACTTCGTCGTACTTTCTCTAGTAGGTCATTGATGACTCTTATGGCCGGTTCTTTAGGGATGAAGGTAAAAAGGGAGACGACGTTAAAGGATACCATTATCTCGTCGGGAGCTTTTACAAAGCCTCTGGTTTTTCCAGGAGGTGTGTTGAAGATACGGCTGTGTGTTCTGAGCCGTCCGTCAACGTCATCAAATGCTCAGAAAGCCAGTTAACCAGTCCGTATGTAGACGCACCTTTCAGCGCCAGAGTGGGCCGTGGGGTGACATTTGGCCTGTGGATTTCCGGCAAACCATAGAAACGTGCTAAGGCAGCATCTTGTACTTTCATCTGTCTCCAATCCCTTTCGGATATTGTCTTTTGGTCCTGCATTTGGTTTAGACTGTTATTGATTTTGCCTATCAGTGTTTTCATGGGGTCAGAGTTGACGACTTTATATGACTGGTTGTCGTTTAGTAGCTCCCGAGCTTTTGCTACGTACTCCGAATTGTCTAGGGTTACGGTTACCGTCCTTTGTCCGCTGGGACAATGACAATTTCTTCGTCCCTCTTTAACTCCCTAATGACCTTTGCCTCTGCAGAAAGGATGGCTCAGCGTGGCCTGTGGGACATGGAGGATGCGACTCGCTGGCGAATTGCATTCTTGAAATATTCTATGACTTCCGTTTTTGAGAGTGTCGCTTCTAGTGCAGCGATGAAATCCACTGGCTGTGCGTCTCCTGTGTTGTAGCCGGATTAGTGTTGAAGCGATTTAATTTGATCGTCTCTCAGCTTTTTAGATGACAGGTTGTGGACGGATGACGCTTCGGGCACGGTTGGTTGTGATTTTTTTGGGCTATGCATTTTGTTGAGGAGTTGGGTCTTTTTGCCTCGCTCCCGTTCACCTTAATCAAAATCCTCTTCTCCAGGTTCTGCAGTGTGTCCACCTCCAGATATAATGTATGTGCTGCTTTCTCTCTTTCGATGTCCCTGTCGTATTTTGCGGACTAATGTGGCATTAGTTGATGAGGGATCTTAATAGGCGTCGACTGCAGCTCCTAGCGACCTCGTGACCGAAATCACTTCTAGCTGGTGGTCTTACAGAAACACTCCTCGGCATGATGTCTGACCTCAGGCAGTTGTGCAGAAAGGCCAGTTGTTCCCACGTAGGTCCCTTTCTACAGGAAAATATATTCCAGTGCCGTGCTCGGCGAAGTACTTCACGCCTGCAAGTCTCATGAATGTGGGCGAAAGTGATGACCCCAAGTGTTCAGATGGAAGAAGACAAGACGATCTCTGGAAAAGAAGATTTGATCATCTGACGTTTCGTACTCATATTCGAGCACCTCATCGGAGAGAGACGAAATGGGAACTACATGGTCTTAATAGGTCATTTGTGTTAACGGATACTCTGTAACATCATCGAGAGCAGCAGGCAGCCTAAACCAGGCCACAATCGGGTGACAGAATAAGCAAAAGTCTGGCGTGCACTGTCATACATCGACGGCGTGTCTAAGGCAGTTTCCCGCCCCCTATGACCCTTGGGGATAGAGATCGCTCAGAGACCAGACTCAACCACTCGAAATTTAGTTATAAGACCGAAGGTCCCCCTGCCACGAGGTGAGACGACAAATGTCATCTACCGGGTCCAGCGTAACTCTTGGAAGGATAACTACCTCGGAGAGACAGGCAAACAGCTGAAAACCGTGTTGAACACATGCGGACGGTGAGGAGAATGGACCCATTGTCTCTGGTGGCGGAACACTGCGCGGACTCTGGACACGCCTTCGCCTTCCAGAACGCCAAAGTTCTGGGTCGAGGCAATGACCGCGTAGCCGGGAAACAATCGAGGCCTGGCACACGGAGACTACATCAATAAACCTTTGTGTTGCCCTTCCGGCAGCCTACCAAGTCCTCCGGACGCAGCT